ATATATATATATATAAATCCTTCCTCATAAAAATGTAAATTGAATGGTCAGATAGTGACTAGCACCTTTTTTATACTTAGGGTTTAAAGTATTTAAATATATCTACGAGAAGAAAAATACTTTTTTTAAAAAAGGTATTAAAAAGAAAATTAGTGGTAGGTTGGCCCTGTGGAGGTAAGACAAGAGGATCATTTGTTGTAAGTGGCAGCTGAGTGCTTATTCTTTGAGGGCATAGACCAGAGGGCAGTATTATCTTTAATAGTCTGGTCACATTTAAATTGTTTTAGCTAATTCCCACCAAAGGAAGGCATTACATTATCACTGAAGTCCTAAAATAATAGCATATATACATTCTACCTTTCTCATCCTTAGGACATCAATAGTGAAGAATTAACTTGACAAGGAATCGTTCTATGAACTGCACAAGTTTAAAATCTCCTGATTTCCTTTTCCCCATCATCATTCTGTGTAGCAACATACTTACGAGCTACATAGAAGATTCTGGTTATAGCAAACTTTCCTTAAAACCACATTAAGCTTCTATAGGCATTGGATGAGTTCTATCACTGACCTCCTCCTAGAGTACCAGGATAGCTTGGGGGGAGGGGGGAGGTATTTGATGGTGTGATGGTCCTGTTTAACTTCAGCCCCCAGTTTGAGTTCTCATATGTTCCTCTTGGGTTAGGATGAGGACTACAATGAAATTAACAGTTGCCATGAAAGTGAGCCATCGGTGACAACTGAGGCTGTGCACTATCTGTATATACAGGTGAGGCCCTGTGACCCACAAGTCTAATCCAACTTATGTCTGTTTATGTTTGGCTTGTAAGCCAAGAATGGCTTTTATGTTTTTGAGTGGTTATTTTAAAAAATCAAAAGGGAAATAATATTCTGTGACATATTTATAATGTTTTGCTCTTGACTTGAAGGTCATAATGTACAAATAAAAACTAATGACATTATTGGATTAATTAGCCCTTCTTGGAAATTTGAGTTTGCAGTCTTATAAGACAATAAATAAAATTTTACTGCACTCTGAATTTTCATATTATTTGTAATAAGAATTTAAGCAAATAAATCTTTTTTTAAAATAACCAATTATATAGAAAATAAATATAAGGGCTAGGAATGGAAGCTTAGTAGAAGAGCACTCACCTGGCACATGCAAGGGTTTACTCCTCAACACAGAAAAAAATTAAATTTTTAATGGTTATTTTGGGGTGCTAAGATTATACATATTTGCTCCCAGTGTTGTTTTTGTTTGCTTGCTTACTATTATTGTGTGTCCTGGAGATTGAACCCAGAGCCTAGTGCCTGCTAAAAATGCACTACTGAGCTTCATTTTTACGCCCCAAAATATTTTTTGAAGTATTTTTTTAAATACTTCTTTTCAGTGTAAAAAAAATCACATCTTTCCTATAACTGTTTAGAATCCATATTACAAATTTTTAAATAAATGATTACATTAATTGCAGTTAACCTCCTTAATTTATACTTTGTAACCAAGTCCTTCCTGGTCTGTTCTTGTCTGCAGATGGAGTACTGTGAAAAGAGTACTTTACGTGACACCATTGACCAGGGGTTGTATCGAGACACCATCAGACTGTGGAGACTTTTTCGAGAGATTCTGGATGGATTGGCTTATATCCATGAGAAAGTAAATTTTACAATATTTTGTGTCCAAAACTGACATTTACATAAATTTATGACTAAATTTAAAAATTCAACGGTGAAAATGGAGAAAAATATAGAAAACTTTGTATATTGTTTCGTAGGACAAAATATCAAAAGCTAAAGAAATAGTACCAGGTATCAAAGTTCAAAGAAAACATTGAAGGTTAGGATAGGGATTAGCACACTATGACTCTCTTAATACCTCTTTTTCTTAGTTCTATAACCTAAAACTGGCTTTTGTATCTTTAGGTAGTTATTTAAAAATCAAAATTATAATATTTCATAACAGAATTCAAATTTCATTGTCTATCAATGAAGTTTCATTGGAACAAAGCCAGGATCATTTGCTTACATATTGCCTGTGACTGTTTTGCTGTAACAGCAGTTTTAAGTAGTTATAACAAAGATGAAATGCCTATAACTTATTACCTGATCTTTTATAGAAAGTTTGCCAACTGCTAAATGAGGAAGAAATATTTGATCATGTATGGAATATAGAAGATGATTCCTTGATTGGTTTAGAATAAAATACCGGTGTGGTTGATACATACCAAATTTGATTCTAACAATTAGTGCTGCCCTTTCTGGAAATAAAGAGAAACTAGAAAGATATCTGGCAAGGAGAAGAATAAGAGTCTTTTAGTAGCATAGCATGCTATGTGTATAAAATGTTATTTTAAAGCTAGAAATTGCTATTATGATGTAAATGCTAAGGGGCCTAGCTTCAAGCTGAAATATTGCATTTTTTTAATATTTTTTTTTTTAGTGGGATAGACCTTTATTTTATTAATTTTATGTGGTGCTGAGAATCAAACCCAGTGCCTTATACATGCCAGGCAAGTGCTATCGCTGAGCTCCAGTCCCAGCCCCACTGCTTACATTTTTTAAATGGGATTGTCTAATGTATTAGCTAGTGTAAATATATTAATTTTTTTTCTTTGCCTCAATTTTCATGAACTCAAAATGTTTTTACTATGTGAAGAAGCAGGCCTGTAATTTATATGACTAATTTATAAATAATTTGTTGGAAGCAGAAATTTCTAAGTTTGGAAATAAAAATGAGTTCTAATGAAGGCCATTAATTACTTTTTGTATTATAGGACATGAAACTATAAATATTATGATAAGCCATTAGGAAGAGGAGAAAGCAGGATTCATTTAACATAATCACTGAATATCTACTGTGTGTACTAGGCATGCAAAGTGAATTGTTAGAATTACCATGGAAGAATGAATGAATTGGCACTTGTAAATGTTGGTAAAATTTCAAAATTATGGCATTTGCCATTAATGAATGGAGCTGGAAAAAATCGTGCTAAGAGAAATAAGCCAATCCCAGAAAACAAAGACTTAATGTTTTCTCTGATATGAGGATGCTAATTCATAATGAAGGTAGGGGCAGCTAGGGAAGAATAGAGTTATTTTAGATTAGGTAGAGGGAAGTGAAGGGAGAGAAGGGGATATGGGAGTAGGAAAGATAGTAGAATAAATCAGACTTTATTACCCTATATACATATTATATATAACTATATGACCAGTGGGATTCTAAATCATGTACAACCAGAAGAATGAGAAATTATACTCCATCTATGTATGATGTATCAAAGTGCATTCTATTGTCATGTATAACTAATTAGAACAAATAAAAAAATTTGAATGAGTAGAGAAAAGCAATAATGTCCTAGGCAGGGGAAATAATACAAAGAAAGGAATAGAAAAGGAATAAAAGTGGTATGTCTTACTGACCAGAACCAGGGTTTTGTGATGCAGCAGAGTGAAAGATAATTTGATGAACTCAGTGGAAGGAACCTTGGGTGCCACAGGGAGCCATTTGGATTTCACTTGATCAGGACAACCACAGATGAAAGAGGGAGATTTTGGAGACATTACCAGACAATTGGGAGACATTCCAGAGATCAGATTCCTGGACTATTGTGGTCTGAGAGAAGACCTAACCCAGTTTGCATCACTAGGCTGGCCTTTCAGATTAGAAAACAGGTATAACTATAAAGTATGCATGGGAAGCAACCATTAGATTCTTTACTTTCTTCCAACAGGGAATGATTCACCGGGATTTGAAGCCTGTCAACATATTTTTGGATTCTGATGACCATGTAAAAATAGGTGATTTTGGCTTGGCAACAGATCATCTAGCCTTTGCTGTGAGTATTTTAATAATTAGACTATACTTGAAAGTAGACCCAGGTTCCTTGATAACAACAGGATATCAGGTTGCCTGAACCCTGCCATGCAACCCTCAGGAATTTGGCAAATATGAAGGCATATACTGCAAGTGATCTTGTAGGCTTTGAAATTGTAATTATGTTTTAATAAGTGCCTTCCACTTGAGGGATACAAAATTATTGGCTGTGAATGATATTTAGGTTAAAGGCATACAATACTTTATAAAATAATTTGGTATTTTGGTCTGCCATGCTTTATACTTAAGTCTTTAGCTTGGAAAAGTGAGGCTCAAAAACATTAAACACTGGGATAACCCAGCCCTAAACAACATATAACTCAAAAGATATTTGTTCTTCACAACATTGTAGTGACTTAAAATACAAAGCTAATTAATGTGAGGTGAGCAAAGTACTGATATAAGAGTAAAAGATAGGGGGAAATTAACATAGATTTGTGAGAATCAAGAAAGACTGTCAGCTCAGCTTAGTGGTACACACCTGTAATCCTAGCAGCTCGTGAGGTTGAGGCAGAAGGATCACAATTCAAAGCTAGCCTCAACAAAAGCAAGGCACTAAGCAACTTAGTGAGCCCCTGTCTCTAAGTAAAATACAAAATAGGGCTGGGGATGTGGCTCAGGAAAAAGAAAGACTGTCTAGATAGAGTGCAATAGTGTGTACCTGTAGTCCCAGCTGCTTTAGTGGCTAAGGTGAGAGGATTGCTTGAGCTCAGGAGTTCAAGACCAGCCTGGGCAACCTAAAGACCCTGTAACCACCCACCCACCCCAAAAGAAAGAAAGACTATATAACAACACAGTGACATTTCAGATAGGCCTTAGGAGTCCAGCAGACCAAGTTGAAGACAGGGCCTTGAGACATCAGGACAGGGTATTTCATCATAACCAAAGCTGTGGGTGAGCAGATGTGATTGTTTGAAGACCACATGTTCTGTTTGGCTCAAAGTGTAAGGTGTAGTAGAGAGTAAGAAAAATGCTAGAAGGTTCTCTGGCCTTCAGTGCCAGAGTTTTACTTAACATCATTAGCCAAAGGTATTAGGCACTGTGTTAGTCACCTTTTTATCACTGTGACCAAAATAAATGACAAGAACTACTTAGATGAGGAAAAGATTTTTTGGACTTATGATTTCAGATGTTTAGTTCATGGTTGGCTGGTTTCCACTTCTCTGGACCTGAATTTAGACAGAAGATCCTGGCAGAAGGACATAGTGGAGGAATGCTGCTCAGCCCATAACAAATAGGGAGTAGAAGAGACCAAGCAAGACACTTAGGACAAATTATAAATCCCAAGGGACATATCTCCCAGTTACCTACTTCTTCCTGCCATACCCTACCTGCCCACAGTTAGTCCGTTCAAATTATTAATCCATGAAATTGATTAATCCACTGGGTAAGTTATGGTTCTCATAATTAATCATTTTGCCTCCTGGAGTTTTGGGGGGCTATGCCATAGCCAAACATAAGAGGAACCAAAATCTCTAAAAATGCAGTTCATTCCAAGGGTAGTTGGAGAAAGAAAATAGGATTTGGATTGATGGTAAAAACAATCACAGGGGCTAAATAAGAAGATAAGGTTAGAAGAAATGGAGAGAGCCAGATGCAGTGGTGCCTGTGACTCTGGAGGTTGAAGCAGGAAGATTGGAAGTTCCAGGGCAGCCTGAGCAACTTAGGGAGACTTTGTCTCAAAATAAAAAATACGAAGGACTGTGGATGTAGCTCAGTGATAGAGTACTTGCCTAGCTTTCAGGAAGCCTGGGTTCAATCCCCTGTACTACAAGAAGGAGGAAAGGGAGGGGAAAGACGGAAGACAGACAGTAGAATTGGGAAGGGCAGGTGTTGAAAAATGCTAAGGCCAAGGAGGGGCAGATGATGGGATCTTGATCCCAAACTAAAGATTATACCTCAGCGTCTGGAGGTGTAGGGAGGTAGATGACCAGAGGCTCTGCAGTCTCGCTGACCTGGACTAGAATCCTGTTGTTGCCACTGCTTTTAGTACAACCTCGGGCAAATTGTAAGCCTCTCAGAACCTCATAGTGCACCTAATACTAGTTCCTGCCTCAAAGAATTTTCAGCAAAATAAATTCAGAATACAGGTAAAGCGCCTGGAACAGGTTCTGGCACTAAGAATGGTGAAGGGGCTGTTATTGATAGCGGTGCTTGTAATAGGAACCAGCAGAGGGATGTCATAACAGTAGTGATTAAAGTGTTGCATGAGACAGTGCCTCAGAGATATATAAAAGATGAAGCCATTTAGAGATGTTAGCAGTGAGTGACAGTGAAACAGATTTGGTGACCTGGTGCAAGGAAGAGTCAAAAACTGATCCTAAAAAAGTAGTAGCAGAGTAACAGTGGGAAAGTTTAGAAAGTAGATGTTTTGTTTTGTAGTACTAGGAATTGAGCCCAGTGGTACTCTGCTACTGAGCTACATCCCAGGCCCTTTTTGTTTTTGTTTTGAGACAGGGTCTCACTAAGTTGCTAAGGCTGGCCTGGAACTTTCTTTCAATCCTCTTATATCAGCATCCTGAGTAGCTAGGATTACTACTGGCATCCACCTCCTTACCCAGCTTGTTCTCTTACTCTTCCTAGTAAATAACTAAAACAAAACATTTAAACTCAAAAAAGCATTATTATAATTATTCTGATTTTCATGTAATATTTTTTCAATGTATCTTCTTTTAGAAATGGACAAGCTACTCCTATTGCTATAACATTTGAATTTGCTAATTGGCTTACTTTTGTTTTTAGGCTGATGGGAAACAAGATGATCAGGCAGGAGATCACTTGATAAAATCAGACCCTTCAGGTAAATCCAGAAGACTGAATTTTTTTATTCACAAAATTTCTTTAACCTGAGTCTTTACTCAGGTTTACTTGTAAAGACTCTATT